AAGCAACTCGAAGCACAGGAGACTTCTAGACTTCAGTGCAGGTGATTTGGTCTACATATGGAGGAAACAGGTGACAGGAAAAGATGCTAAACCAGTCAAAACCACCAACGGAAAGTTTGTGGGGCCAGCCAGGATCCTTGCTACAGAAAACCGGAGAGATGACCAGGGTCATCTAATTGCAGGATCCTCTGTCTGGCTAGTCCGAGGTCGTCGATTGTTGAAGTGTTGTCCAGAGCAGCTCCGACATGCTTCAGAACGTGAAAAGATCTTGGATGAACTTCATGCAGAGGACTCACAACCTTGGTCATTCCCACGAGTGGCAGGTGAGTTGGGTGGAAACGACTATGAAGACTGGTCAGAACAACCACCAGAAGAAGAATGGAGAAGGGCAGGTGATCCACAACATGAATGGCAACCAGCAGTGAGGCAGAGAGGGGAAACGACCTATGCCTCCAGACTATGAGGTTTCTTCTTGTCCCGAAGGATCTGCCAGCAGCAGACTACGAAGATCCCCAGAGTTTCAGGAAGACCAGCCGGACGTTGAAATGAACCAAGGAGTCACACTCCAATCACCACCCTGTGGGTTCCAGTCAGGCCCTGATTGGACTACGCAGGTCAGAGAAAGTGCCTACCTGTCAAGTGAAGAAGAGAGCTACTGGAACCAACATACAGCCGCCATCACCATCGAGATTGACATGCCTCAAACCCGAGGAGCCTCAGAACGTGCGATCAAGAACCTCAGTGCCTTCCTGGTCTCAGCCATGAAGAAACGAGCAATTGAGGTTTCAGAAAAGAGAATGACAGAAGAAGACCGACAGGCCTTCAACAAAGCAAAAGCAATCGAAGTGTCCAACTTTATTGCAGCAAGAGCATTTGAAGCACTTCCAGCAGGCTACAGGGGCAGAAGAGAAGATGCTGTCCGTATGAGGTGGATCCTCACCTGGAAAGCTCTCCCGGACGGTGGCAAGAAGGCAAAAGCACGGGCCGTACTCCTGGGATACCAAGACCCCGGGTACGAGGGTAGAGCAACTACCTCACCAACCACAACACGACAGACCCGACAGGTGCAATTGACTATAGCAGCAGCAAGAGGTTTTCAAACCTGGAAAGGAGATGTCGCAGGGGCTTTTCTGCAGTCCCGTGAATATCCAGATCAGCTTCTATGCATTCCCTGTCCAGAGATTCTGGAAGCTATGGGATTGGCCGCAGAGACTTTGACACGAGTCCGGAAGGTCTGCTATGGTTTGGTCGACGCACCACTAGAATGGTATGTATCGGTCGATTAGTGAGTTTTTCCATGCACAAGGCCTTCGTCGTTGTTGGTCAGACCCGTGTTGTTGGACCTATGTCTCCCAAGGAGAGTTGCAAGGCCTCATCTCGGGACACGTTGATGATTTTGTTTTCTCAGGAAATGAGGACCATGCAGGTTGGAAGTCAATTTTGACAGCAATACAAAAGCAGTACAAATGGTCAGACTGGGAAAAAGACAGCTTTGTACAATGTGGGGTTCATGTGGAGCGATCCCGAGACGGCACATATGCTCTGTCACAAGAATCATACATTGAAGACCTGAAATACATCAACATCAGAGCTCACCGCAAACAAGACAAGCATGGAGCTACTGACGACTGGGAGAAAAGTCAGTTGAGAACCTTGCTGGGTGGAGTCAGTTGGCTAGCGCAGCAAACCGCTCCTCATTTTGCAGCAGAAACTAGTCTGCTTCTTTCAGAAGTCTCACAAAGCACCGTTGAAACCTTGCATCGAGCAAACAAGCTGATGAGTCAGGTCAAGTCCATGAAGGAACATAAAATGTTGATCCCAAAAGTGAACTTGAAACACTTCGGTCTGTTTGTGTGGTGTGATGCTGCCGCGCAAAACCGGACGGATGGTGGTAGCACCCAAGGGTTTTTGATAGGAGCCGCCAGTTTGGAACTTTTGAAGGGATCTTGTGAGGCTGTTTCCCCCGTTTCTTACAGTGTGTAGGAGTCCTGGAGCCAGTGAAACGGCAGCAGCAGTCAATGCTGAGGATGCCCTGTTCTTCGCACGACTCCAATTCTCGGAAATGCTCGGTCAACCCGTTCGCATTCGGGCCGTGAATGAATCGGTCAATCGGATTCCCGGATGTCTTATCACGGACTCTCGAAACGTATTCGATAAAACGAAGACTGAGGTGATCTGTACTAAGGGCAATGAAAGACGAGTGGACATAGAAATGATGTGCCTCAAACATGGACAACTGAGGAATGGGGTCATCATTCGATGGGTACACAGCGATGCGCAGCTCTCCAACTCCTTGACGAAGAACGAGCAGAGACAGCTGCAGATGTTCTACAAGATGAAGCAGCACTGGCGCATAGTACAAGACATAAACATGGCTTCAGCAAGGAAGCGAAAAGAGCAAAACATGGATCCACTTGAGAACAACCACATTCCACAAGACACCACACAAAACATACAAGACACACAGTAGTCCCGGACCGGAATCCGACCGTGCTCCTCGTTGTTTTTCCTGTGTTGGTTGGTTTGTTTCGGCTTCGTTGAAGTTTTTTTTTACGTGAATCTAGCGCCTCGACTGCGTAAAGAGGGAGAAGGGGGGCATGCAATGAATGAACATTGCGACTGTCAGCAGTGTGACGCCTCCAGTCGACATTGGATCAAAGAAGAGCGAAGGTCTGCTATCACGGTCGCTAGTCCACCGTAGAGCTTCGAACCACAGCTCTTAGTCCAAAGGACCTGAGCATCGGTGAGCTGTGTCAACCGCTTACATATATTATATATATATATGTGTTATATATATATATGCATTATATTATGTATTTATATATATATATGTATGTTTTATATATATTATTATATATATATATATATATATATATTATTTTGTATATATGGCCCCAAAATAAAAGGTAAAGTCCCTTCAAAATGTTCCAAAATGTGTTGGAAACCATGCCACCATCTATTTGGGGACCCTCCTCCACCGCGGGCCTCGGCGTCCGGCGCCTGCGAGGTGTCCGGATGCTCCACGCGCACCGCGCGGCGGTAGGCCACACGGAGGTCCTCCTCGTCGAGCTCCACGTCTGCCTGACCCGTTCGGAGCCCCAAAACCACGAGGGGTGGAGGTTGATGGAGGTTGTTGGAGGTGTGGTGGATCCAAGGTGGAGATCCAAAATGAGGAAATTGACCAGGATCCAAAGTCACAAGCCATTAGGCCATCAGGTGTTCAAGTGGGGGTCGACCTGGCTTGAATGAAGTCCAGGGCAAAACTCAGCATGGTGCAGATCCAAGCACTTGGTCTGGCATGGTCTGGCCAGTTCTTCCATCTCCACGTTGGCCTCCAACCCCAGCGCGCGCCAGGGACCACAGAAATCGCCCTCAAAATCCTTCAGCGCTTCCTCCAAGTCTTCAGGCAGCATGGATCCTCAGACCCAACTTCATCCGGGCACCATCGGTACCTCCTCTTCTCAAACCGCCTCTAACCACCCAAGAGAGCCCAAGATCACCCGAACATTCCAAATAAGTACACTTGCAGATCAGCCACGCAACTCCTCCGCCGCTTGCCGCTGGGCCTCCACTTCGGCCGCTCGCACAGCCTCCGCCGCCGACGGCGGCTCCGCCGATGGGGCGGCCTTGGGCCGCAGCGCGGCACTGGCCGCGGCCACCAGCACCGCAGCACCGAGCACCGCCACCGCCAGCGGCGCAGCGCTGGACGCCGCGCGGCATGCGAGGGAGGGGTGCCGCGCGCGAAGAAGAAGGGTGAGGTGGGACGAGTGACCTGACCAGTGAAAGCTCGGAGGGAGTGGTAAGGTGGCAAGTTGCTTCTTCGGGGTCCAAGAAAACGAATTTATGTAAGCCCTCGCATCACTTAATCCTGTTGATCCTCCTTCATATCCACAGGACTAGGCCTATCAAAGGATGGGAGATACGTTCAAAAGGAACAAGACTGAAGGCATGCTGACTTCTGGTAGTCCAAAAAAACATGATCCCTAATCCCTAAACGGCCTTGTTGCTACTGAACCCCGACCTTGTGCTCGCCGCAGCCACCTGCCCCCGCTCGCTGCAAGCTCCTGCATTGGTTGAATCTCGCTGAGCAGCTTGCTTACAGGTGCCTAGTGGAGGAGAGGGGATGGTTGCCCGTTCCACGCATCCTGGATCGAATGCTTCGGACAACCACCCCAACTCGGAACACTGTGCTTTCGGTGACGCAAACCACTGAGGTCGGACTGAAAACCACTGAGGCATGCGACAGTGACCTACTGTGTATTGGTCCATGTTCACCCCGTTTGAATCCACGGCTCCTGGCCCATCCTCGGCCGTGCGAAGAGATCGGCGCCTCGCTGCCATCGTGGAGCTTCAAATCATCAAATCCGTCGGATGGTAAGCGACTTGAAACGATAAAGACCCCCCCCATATGAAGGAGGTGTGTCAATCCAAATGTGGGGGGTTCTTAATCAAGAGTCTACATTAGGTCCAAAGACGTCTTTTAAATATGGGGGGGGGTCCATGTAAACCACCTTTGGAGAATTGTGCCATCTACTCTGAAACCACTGCAACTCTTGGGCTTGTCAGCCACCAATGAGAGCAGCATCCACCCATCCACCTGCACATGGGACAGCGAGAGTCGTTGGCGTCCACTTCGCTCCGATTGGGGCAAACCATGGCGGCGGCCAGGCCGCATTCATGCTTTTGGAGCAGTTGGACTTGCAGGAGTCTTGAGTGTGTGGCTGAGCGAAGATGAGTGAAGATGAGTGCCTCAATGAGTGTGTGATGGTGCGTGGTTCGGAAGATTGATCTCTTTGGATCAGCTTCTCGTCTACCAAATTACAGCCACGCAGGACAAGCAGTGGAAGCGGGCAGATCACCACTCGGTCAAAATCACGCACGGTTGTGGAAAAATGAAGCCAAGCGTGGAAGCTTCAGTGGATGAGAGGCCTGCCGAGGCCTCCCAAATTTAACCAATTGCCTTCCCTGGCTCCTCCTTCCCTCGCGCCAGCGAACCCGGCCTGCGACCCCATCTTGCGTCGTAGCCTTGCACGTTCCATCACTGGGAACCTGGAGAGTCACCACAACAAATCGAAAGGCATACGCCGTTTTTGCAGCGTCGGCTCTTTCTTCCTCTCGTGGATTCATGGAAAAAAATCATGCTGTCTTGAAAACCAACACTTCGCTGAATGAGCTGTGTGGCAGAGCACGTGCAAAGACAAGTCACACACCTTTTGGGCCATTGGATTCAGAAAGGGGCTCTCCCAACACTGGCGGAATCAATCCTTGGTGCATGGGTCCCTTCCTGTTCACGGGTCCAATTTCGTAGGGGTCCCGTCCATCATGTTCTTTTTAAGTGACTGATGCCACCATCACCACTCCTCACGTGCGTTTCTTTGTTGGAAAAACGGCGCACAGGATAGTCTCGTTCAGCGGCTTGGAATCGACGCAGCTACAGACGTGGCAGAAGACCTGAGGCGAAGAGTCCAACTCAGATGGACTAAGAAAGTGTCCACCAGGCAATAAGACACCACGAATAGAGACTTATATAGTAAGGTCAAGGTCTATATACTATAGGAATGTCTGATGAACAATCCAAACATGGAGTAGGGTCCCGGGTAGTTCTTTGCTTTTCGTGCGAGCGAGCGCCGTTCCATCCAGTTCTGCCACGTGGCATTGCCAATGCCATGCGAGTCTCGCTTCCGCTTGCACTTCGAGCAGGTCTGGTTGGATTCACTGCGCAGCAGACGGGAGGACGGCGATGTGGGGTGAGGCTTCGAAGACTTGTTTTCAGGATTCGAAGACTTGTTGTGCCTGAGAGTTTTTAGTCTCAGTTCACCATCATAGACAGCTCCTTTTCCCTCTCTATTCCTCATGACCACGGTTTTCGCGCCTAAACCACGGGCTCAACTGCGGAAGCTTCCCCTCGCCGTCCATCCAGCGCTTGAAGATCTCCTGCCAACACTTCCAACGTCCGCGAGGAATCGTCCACCAAATACCAAATACTTGGAGGGTCTGGTAAACATGTAAACACCCATTTCTGTGCCTCAAAAAGCGTTCTCAAGACGAATCGAACGAATCGAACTTGAAGCCAGCCTTGCAAAACGTAAAAATAATCGTGAAATATAGTGAAATCGTGTTCTCATGGAGCACTGCTTTACGTCCTGCTTGTCCTTGAGCAGCTGCTGAGAAACCTCGTGCTCGACTCATCACACGAATCTTCCCCGCCAGCTAGGGAGAAATCGCTTGGGCACAAGACACAAACACAACAAAGGTATAAATGGCCTTCGAGGGGTGGTTTTTGGACACCCCCCAACGGCTAAGGGGCTATAAATAGACACCCCTTGGAGGGTCCTGGTATAAATGGCCTTTTCTACTCCCATCTCTTGCACTTGGATTCTTAAAAAGGAAGAGGGCCTGGGTGGCCTGGGCGGCCTGGGCTCCTCTTCTTTTGGGACCGAGGAGAAGGAGGCAATGCCTCACAGCGTCAGTCTCGCCACTTCACCCGCCTCGGACCGGATCCCACCCGAAGCCGTTTGGCCTCACCCCAACCTCTGGCAGAGACGCCACAACTAAGATCTGAGCGGTGACATAAGATGCCCCGTCCGGCCAATGCTCCTGCGAACGGAGACCGTCCGACGGAAGGCGCCCGGAGGTCGGTTTGGGAGCGGTGGCCGGGCCGTCTGCAGAAAGAGGTGTGGGCCTGGCCTGATGCAAGCCTCGTGGTGAAGGTGTCTTGCCTCAGGAAGAGCAAGTGGAGAGTTGGAATGAGAGCCTCCAGGAGGCTCGAAAAGAGGGCAGCGGGACCGGAGCCGCGAATCTGATCCGGTGGGTGGTTTCACTGGGAAACTCGGCTGAATCACCGAAAAAAGACGCTGAGAACATAGAACATCTTTGAAACCAGCCCTGACCCCGCTTCAACTTGATCGACTCCTCAATGTCCTATCAAGGGAGTCACAAAGGGGCGGATGATCATCCACTGCAAACATGTGCAAACTATGTATCCCAGTATCCCAGAACAGTGGTCACCAGCTCCCGTCAGCTCGGTTCAGCCCAGCGTCGACTTGAGGGTGATGGAGGTCTGCTTGGTCCTCAAAAGGCCCGCTCACGGAGCAGCTGAAAGGTCGGTCGAAAGCGACGTGCGCTCCAGCGGCGCTCCAGCGGCGAAGAAGCGAAGCAGCAAGTTGGAGCAAGAACTGCTATGGGCCATGGGTTTGAGGGGGGCCCTTTAGCGGCCCTTTGACATGAAATCCCACCTATTTTCACCTCCATGAACTGGAACCCCCACCACCGGTCCATGGGTCTGGTCCATGGGACTTGAACGGCGTGGATCAAGGGTTCTTGGACCCCGAACTGCTTTGGTACGAGTACCACCGGAGGCTCTGTCAGGCCCTGCGGGGTCCTCAAAACCTTCCCTGCTTCATTCATGGCACTTCCTCACCCGTCATCCCGACCGGCCAACCCCACCCCGCTGGCCCAACCCCACCGATCTCCGCTCCGCGCCGGAAAAAAGCCCTCCGCTCCTGCGTCCTCGCTCTTGGACTCGGTCGCACCGGTCCGACTGCCGTGGCTCTCCACCGGCGACACCACCACATCTGGGCGGAGGGGCGGGAGGGGCGGTCACGGGAGGTGGGAGAGCGGGAGACCCGAAAAGCGGCGAAGAATTGGACCCAGTGGCTTCAAGAGGTCCAAGAGGTTCGTGAAAGATCAGTTGTGCACTTCTTGGGGTGACTCAGACATAACTCCTAAAGCACCTCGGAGGGGGGTCAATAGGAGGACTGTGAAAGCCCTTTCAACAAAAAAAACACATCATAAAAACAAAACAAGTGCCCCAAGATGCCCCAAGTCTCTTCTTTCTCTTCTCAGTCTTTGGTTCTTTGTCCCTTTCTCCGCCCTTGCGCCCTTGCTCCACCTGGGGGCTCCAGGACAGCCAGCACCGCATTCCGGTGTTGCCCGGCGCGGATGTCACGCATGCCTTGTTGCACCTTGGAATCCGTCCAAAAAGCAAAGGATCGCACCAAAGATCGCACCATCTGGCAGGACCAAAAGGCCCAGAAGGACGTGGAAGAACCCTCCTAATCACTTGAAAGTAGAAATCCTTCCTTCACAGAACTGGCCATCCAAAGGCCTCAGACTTCCCCCATAGTCCTCCCATACGAAGCGTCCCCTTCGTGTCGAAACTCGATGTCTGGCTCGACCTCCGAAGCGTCTGGCGTCTCCTTTTTGGCCGTCTAAGACAGAAACCAGACCTTCGTCTTGCCATCGGATGCATCCAGTTCCTGGAAAACCTGAAACCTGGAAAAAGGAATAAACCTGATTAAACCTGAAACCTGGTTTCAGTGAGACGCACAAGTTTGTACGACCACCGCTTTTCTTTGTTCAGCGAGCTCTGCGACCATGGGCCAGATCTGGCCTGCTTTTGTATCGACATGGCTACATGGCGTTGATTGAATTTATATATATATATAGATTGATAGTTTGATGGACACCAAACTCCTCAACAACCGAAGGACGTCCCAGTAAACATTTTCTCAAAAAGGGCCCAGCAAAAGGATCAAAACATATCAAAACGATGCTAAGTTAAAATATATACGTAATAAGTCTGCATTCAAGCGTGGAAATTTGTGGGGCATCAAATCGTTCAAATCAAGTGCCAAACGGTTGAGGCACTCGCAGCAGATGACTACACATCAAAAAGCTAGGACCTCCATTGCTAGCCAGTTGCAAGTAAAATCCTTCCTTACACTTACACTTGCTACAAAGTTTGGCCTCCATGGAATGGGCAGGAAATCTTGAATCTTCACCACCAATCTGCTCGTTGTTGGTCCCCCGAACCAGGTGGCCTCTCACTCCAACCACCTCCACCTCCAGCTCCGACCCTTTTCGACCCCACCGGCTTCCCACCTTGCGTGCCGCCCCGATCATCCGGGTCAGCGCGTTGCTCTTCTCTCCCTCCTACCGAGCCGAGGTCAGCCGTCGTCGATCTCGACGCTCGATGCGGGCGTTCTCGGCGCTGGGCGGCGAGGGCGGCGGGACAGGCGAGGGCGATTCGGCGCGCTGCGCAGCTCCGAGCGGCGCCTTCTCTGAGGCGAGAGGTGGGCTACGTGGCCGCACCAGCACGGTGGCAGCCTGCTCAGCCTCAGCCAATTTTCAGTGGGTGCTTGACAATCGGTTGAGATCGTCCGACCATAGAAACCATGGTTGCTGGATGCATTATCCCAATCCGTCACCCAAACGAGGCCTGGCGATGAAAACGAATACAAAGAAGCCGCGCGTCTGGCCGGCCTTCCCGCGCACAACAGAAAGTCTGACCTACAGTACAAACATCCTTGACCGTTCAAGAAGCAGTTGGGAGTCCAATGGAATAAGCATGCATTCACAGGTATCCCGTATCCACTGGTCTTACCAGGGACGAAGCGTGAAACAGCAGGACCGGTGGATCAGTGAAGCCGGGCGCCTGTCCCACCCTTGAGGAGACACGTCCCCAGGCGGGTGCCTCCTTGTCCTTGCACCAGAAGCAAAGGAACAACAACGGACACACGCCCCGCGACCCCCGCAGCAACCCCCCTGGCCAGGGTGTTGCACGTGACTCTCGCACGCCACCGAGGGAGCACAAGGGACAACAGGACAGGACAGTGATGCAGGTCCAGACTCTCGCAGCCACCATGGGGATCGGGTGCCATTTACATCAGCTATAGGCTATAGGCCGCGCTCACCACGAGCTGCTCTGAAGAAGAAGGGGTTTTCAAGCCTTCGCATGTCACAGTCCAAAACGGCCAGTCATGATCTTGTACTTTCTCCAGGTCGCCCCACCCAGCGGTGCGGTCGCGGTCGATGCGTTGAGCTCCCGAGCTCCCACGGTGATGGCCTCTTCCCGCTGCTGGATATGGGTCTTCACCTTGCATCCGGCATCGGTTGAAGTGTTCTAGGGAAAGACGTGGGTTGGCACTGAGGGAAAGAGATTTCCGTGCATTTCAGGTGCATCTTGCGGATGTGGGCAGATTTTTGGATCACTGAAGCTGCCAGTCGTGCATAAGGTCTGTCTGGTGGACGAATCATCCTAGTCAACAAGATTCAACAAGCGTGGAAACTGGTTGCTGCTTGCCAACATGGCTGGTTTGCATCCAGAAAGAGGTGAAAGCTGAGCAGAAGAGTGCATGTTGATTTGGGAGATCCTTGAACTCAATCTCCCTGTCTGTTCTCTGAGCACTACCCACATCCACCCTCATCCGCCCTGGCCCCACCTTCCCGCCCCCTCTCTTCACAGCTTCCCGGCCAAGCGATCGTGCTGATAGTGTAGAAAGTTGATCTTGGACGCTCGGATTCTTCGCGGATTCTTCGTGGCTCTGAGAAGACCCCACCACATCCACCCACCCACCCGAAACGCTCCATTCACATCCGGGAGCGGGGTGGGGTCGTGGCGTCGAGGCCCCCGGCGAGGTACATGGCTTTCGCAGGCGAGGGGGCACAGCATTTGATCAACGCCCCGCTGCCGTGCATGTGGTGGTGACCTGGTCGTTTCTCGGGCTGTCTTGATGTTCTACTATCGCTTTGAGGCTCCCAGTGACCGCCACTGCTCTGCTGATCAGATTTCAGGCTGGCCTAGAAGGAGAAGGCTTTCAGCAAACGCTGCCACGTTGAAAGCCACAGGCACCTGCAGCGGAACCCGCCGGTGAAAGCCACGGTAGAACTCACTCATTAAAAGCTGATGTGCGTGTCTCCCAAAAGACTAAACCATTCCGTGCGACCCAGTCTACAGGAAGAATTCCAAGCACTCCGTTGCCATCTCTACAGGCCGCATTAGGCAATACTTGTATGTGCCTCTTCTCGATGTTGCTCGTGTGGAGCATCGATCGGCGATCGGAGTCCATGGTTTTGTTTTTTCGCGATGTTGCGATCCCGGCCTCTTTCCCAGATGCATCCACCTGACGAAAATGAAGAGGTCTACCAGTATCAGGTCTTCAAGGAGATCCACAAGCGAACCAACGGCTGTTGCTCTCAAAGTGGTGTCCTTTTTAAAACCCACTTGAAGCTTGTATCTCCAAGTCAAGCACATCTGTTCACTGTAACCAGACTGTGGATACCAAAGAACCGAACCGGTTGCACCGCTGGAGGAGGTCCCGCACCGCCCGCCTCCGCAGGCAAGCCACTCAGCCGGCGAGCCTGTAAACCGGATCCGAAACACACCGCGTGACCGGTGCCGTCGCACCCCCCTTTGGACCCACCAGGGTTCTTCCGGATCACCACGTTTCGGGGGGTGTATCCCACCAGACGTTTTCTACCAGGGTTTGATCAAGTTGATTGGAAAGGATCCTGGATAAGCGCATGCATGTAGGCGTCATGCAAGGAAAAGCGGTCGGTCGACGGTCTATCCAGACAAGTCGCTGACTTCCTTGGTCAGCTTGATAAGCTTCAGTTCTATTTGTTCAGCGACGGCGGACATTGGGGAGTCATCAACTCAGTGCTTTCTCGCGAAAAGCTCAATTCCTTGGCAGGGTCGTCGTCCTTTCCTTCCTTGGGGATCTTGTGCCTCAGGGACCCAGAGGTCTCCCCCTCTCTTGGATTCTCTGTTCTTGCGTTCTATAGGTCATGCCAGAACTGAAAATGCCCCCCTTCCCTTCCAATCAAGGTCTGCTTGCTTGTGAAAACCTTTAAAATCAAACCTTCCGCTCACACCGGTACCTTTGGGCACAAAAGCAGCCACTGGAGCTCACAAATGATCGGCAAAACAAAGCTCAAACGCCAAAGCAAAAGCAGAGGGCCAGCCCTGGCGAGAGGTTTACGCCGTGGGCCGTGACAGGTTTACCGGTTTAAACGGCGATAAGAACCACCCCCCCGTCCACCACCCCTCCAGTCCGAACGAACAGATCACCCCGGAAGCACCGCGAAACCACCGGCCGGTCACGTGACTCACGCGAGCGATCCGGTCACGGACGGAGGGTCCCAGTCTGCCGCCCGCTGAAGCCGCCCCGTGAGCCTCTGCAGCCCCTTTTGAGGTGTGAGTGGCTTTTAGCCAAACGGCGTCGTTTTTGTTCGCCCGCCACCCCGGGTGTTTGACGGATCAGGTCTCCAAACTTGGTGTTACAAGAAAAGGAGGAAGAAGAGAAGAAGAAGAAGAAGAACAAGAAGAAGAAGAAGAAGAAAGAAGGACCTCGAAATTAAACCAATCGCCGCCCTTTTCGTCCCTTTTCCACACCCCAAACAGGCCCTTTTCACACCGCAATCTGCCTCTTCACCCAGCGACGCGGCAAAGGGTCCACCTGCGACATCAATGGAACCGATGTTCTTGGTGACCATGTAAAATCCAACAGGTCTTGCGATGGACTCATAAACAGTGTCAGTTATGTTGATTTATGTTGTGCGTCTTGTCGTGAGTTGCAGAAGTTAGCTCCCAGGTGGGTCAGTGAAAATCCATCACCGACCCTCCGACCCTCCGACCCGTCGAACCTCCCCCCCGCCTCGCGGAGCCGCGTTGGGCCGTCGCCGCGCCTCGTCCTCGCGCACCTGGGCGCGAGAAAAAGTTCCTCCTCACCCAAATTCCAGACCCAAAAATTACGTAAAACTACCTCAGATTTGTATATAGATGTATATAGATGTGTGATTTGTGTGTGTGTGTGTGTTTTCGTTTTACCCTGTTTGGGTCCCTCCAGACTGGGTCTTCTTCTTGCTGCACACACACGGCCGTGGTGCTCTCGATGAGACTCCCCACGGCTGCAATGGCTTTCTCCAGCTCGACCGGATCAAGCCTCGAAGATCGGATCAAGCTCTCTCTCCATCGACAACGTCAGGTCAGGTACGAGAGGTTTGCAAAGTACACGTGTTCTTTCTGTCGAGGTGTGCTACTCGAGGCAATAATAAAGGATTTGTATGCAAAAGTCTGTGCAATGTGAAGCATGATGGTGATGACGAAACTGAGACTGGCTTCAAGTGGGTTCGGTTTCTTAACCATTCTAGTGGTCCAATTCTATAAAGCGATGCTATTGGACATCATTTCACTCTGGCAATCCCAACAAATGCCTTGATGTGCCTTGAAAATGCAACCACTGTACACTCTCTTCTAAGATCTCTCAATACTAAGAGTGCGGCATGCCGTCCGAACACGGGTCGATGGTGCGCATGAACTCCTCCAAAGAAACAGGGCTGGGTCCCAGCCCAACTCCTCCCGCTTGGACCATCCAGTGCTTCCAAGCAGTAGCAGTCTTGTTACAGGACGGCACCCACGTCCCACCTTTTGGTCCAAAAATGGCATCCTCCTTAGCTGCTCTTTTTTAAGAGAAATGAGTACGCCCTACACCTCACTCTCGCAAAATGGAGCCTGGTAACCTCCAGGACTCTCCGTCTTCCCCAGAGCACTCTTCCGGAGCCAACGCCTGCAGCTCCGAGGAGGTCTCGAAGGTGTGCGTGATGCGAAACTTCTTCAAGAGCTCCATGAAGGCGATGTAGCTCAGCAAGCCCTCACAGCCAGCACTTTGTTCTCTTTGTTTCGCGAGAAAAAGCGAGCTGGTTCCAGTCATTCAATAATTCAAAGCCGCGGTCTCATTGGTTTCAGCACGTCTATGACGCTGAAGAAGAGAAGGTGCTTTTTGATGCACCCATGTCCGATCTCCCAAAAATGTTGGAGGATGCCTCAGCTTTTGATGTTAGTTATATTGATGTGTAAACACCTGCCGTGGAGAGAGTGTAGTTGGGAGGCTTCCAGATAAAAACGTAAAAAGAAGAAACCTGTTGAGAGATACATAAAGATATATCTCCTGATTGCTTCGGACTCCGGAGCCACTCCCCGGTCTGCGGCGTGTTTCGGAAAGCAACTCCGTGCTCCGTCGGCGTTTCAAGGCGTTTTCGGGATGATTCACCAGGCTACCTACCAGAAATGCTCTGGCTAAATACATCTATATATGTATTTTGAATTATATGATTTATTTATGTGCATGTACAGCAGCTGGTTGGGGTGGGGGCACAGTTACTGTGGTCCTGTTGATGAACGAAACCTGAAACCAAAACCTTATGCACCACAGGCTGGTCACTGATCACTAGCAGTAGTTTGGAGAGGCACTCTCGGTGTGGTGAAATCCATGTTGACGTTGACGGCTGATTCATGAACCCCTCCCTACAGTATGGATTTGTTGACCTTTTTCCATTCAAGACAGATGCTTCAATCCACTGTCGACCGTTGAGCAGCAGGTCTGCGTAGGGAGATTGGGGCAATGCTCAACTTGAGCATTGCCCCAATCTCCCAACGCAGACCTGTGAGTTTTTGCAGAAACGGCCTGTCTCGACCTTTGAATCTTGCCATTCGCCACCAGACCACGCACCTGGCAGGTCAGCCGATGGTGAGTCACCGCTGGGCGGTGGGGGAATCTGTGACTCACCCAATGTTCAAAGCCTTGAATGGTTTTTTGCAGAGAAACAGCTCTCAACCTCACCTGAGATCGCCTCAGACCCACAGCCCATGTATTTCCAACAGGTGTTTGCTTCCAGATCTGTCCCACTGTGTTGATCACCAAACCGCGGCCCTGATCTTTGCGCCCCGGGGCACGTTGAGGAAATGATCTTTGCAGCACTCATCCACGACAATCAGCAAAGAGTAGCCCTTCAATTCCTCGAGGGCATGGCGCCGGCGACTCCGATGAAGAGAAAAACAATGAAAAACCCCGAGTCCGATGGAGCTGACAACCGCGTCTCCTTGTCCGTCATCTCCCGGAAGGGCTTCTGAAGCCAGGAGAAGTCCGCGGTGTACTGGCGGAAGGGTGGTCAGAAGGCTGACAGGTTGGCCAAAAGTTGTCTAACCACTAGGAGCAAGGACGCTACTACTCCCCTTGACAATTTGTGCAGAAAGACCTCTTGACCGACTCGGCTTTCTCTCAGCCACAAGAAGGAGCTCTCCGCCCCGCCCCGCCTTCACTCGCGGAGCGACCTTCAGGCCGGCAGAGGCTGTCTGAAGGTGCTTGAAATCAGGGTCATCATGGGTCATCCTGGATCCTTGACCTAAGCGCCTTTGGGTCTATCCCTATCATCTATACACCCATCTTAGAGTCTTAGAGAAGTCTCCTTCTCACTTGTTCAAACTCCTTTGGAACCAGCTGGTCCGTCCTTCTTGGGCTGCTCCACGGGGGAATCCATCATCAGGTCCTCGAGGATCAAAGGAAGAGTCAATGGACAAATAAAGATGCTGCATTCTTTCTTGCGCTTGCTGGGATGTCAAGGAATTCTACGGAATGTTCCTAATGTGGTCAGACCCCAGCCCTCGATGTGAAAAGAATTTGCCAGACCACACCAGCCATCCCAGGCTTCCTTCACCTTAGTCGGGTCCAACGCCCCCAGCACACTGAGGAAGCGATTCCTGCGGCGTCAAGCGAGATGGTTTCAACGGATCCCGTTGCGGCAAAACTAAGAATCATGTAGACTCTTGATGCATCTGAAGAGGACATACAATCCAAAATCGCTTGGGCCTAACTCATCAAAGGGTTTACCTTACAACTCCAAATCGAAAGCGCCAGCGTTTGAAAGCAGCAGTCCCTGCTGATCCACGCCGATGTCCCGGCTCGACCTCCTGGAAAAAAATGCTCCGACGACACGCGACGGTGCGGAGGACACGCGATGGGTGTCCGCGATCGCGCCAGAACATCCATTCTGTCTGTCCACCTGAAAAACTGTCATGGGACATGGATGGAAATATGGAAGTGGTCCGTGGTCCCCAAAAAAAACACCTGACCTGTTGGATATGTCTCCACCATCCGCACAGCTCTTGAGACCGGCGAGTCCTCCATCGTCGTCTTCGGCGAGTCCATCCCCCACGTCACGTCACGTCAGGCAGAGTTCCCGTGAGTCTGAGAGACTTTCTGGAGCTGCGAAGACAAAGAAACGGTTTCTTTCACCTAAGTGACCTAAGTGATCCCCTGCGCCGCCGGGTCCTTGAAAAAGACCAAAGACCCTGGACTAAATACTGTTCTCATCTGTTCTCAAGTTCGTCAACAGGGTCTACCAATAGAAGTTCATGTTCGCTACGGCTCGCAAGGTCTCCCACACACTACAGCTTCTCCCCCACCCGGTGCCTGCGACACCTTCCTCTGCTTCTCGTGCGGCACCGGCACCACCGGCGCCGGCGCGACCACGCGCGGCGAGGCCGCCGGCGAGACGCCGCGTGGCGAGGCGCCACGCACGAGGCTGGGCGGCGTGTGGAGGTTCGGAGGTCCCGCGGAGCTGCGCTTCTCCGGTCGCGGGGGCTCTGGCAGCTTCGCCACCTCCGGTTCCGGCCTGGGGAAGGGGGCCAATGAAGCGAGAGGTTCCGGTTGGTCCCGGTGGAAGAAAGTTGATCGAAGATCAAAATGCATGTTCATGTTCCGGAGTTCCGGAAACCTGGCAGGATTGGCAAGATCCCAACAACTGAAAGTCTTTTTGTTCTGGGGGGCTGTTTCTCGGCCGACACCCCGAAGCTTGAGCTGGTAGTTGGGAAAATGGTTTGTGGTACAGTGGTAGAAGTCCAGGCAAACAGAATTGGCAGGAAACATGCATGAGGGGCAACAGCGTTGCGGAGGTCAAAAGCATGACACGTACAAACCTCCTCTGGTTCACACCAGATTTGTTCGCTCAATGGATAGCGTTATATCCTAATCTCCGTATGATGTGTGTATATACATACATACTATACATTCAGTTAATGCATGATACCCCCCCGTACACACCTTGCATTGTTGTTTATTGATAAAATGGTATTTACAGTGATTCTGCTATTGCTTATAGTATATATATATATATATGTATGTATTGGATCGTATGTATATTACATTAGAATACCTCCAAAGGCACACGTCCTGGGCAGTCCTCCTCCCCGCCCCCCGAGGCTTGGACTGGATGGTGACCTCCTTCACCTTCGGAGGATCTTTCGCCTCGGCGCCGCGTCGTCCGCGCTCCGCGTTCGCGGCGCCCGCGGGCGCGTCTCGTCGCGACGGTCGCACAGCCGCAAGAGGCGCGGCCTCGGAAAGGTGGTTGATCTGTTGAACGACCTGCTGAAGCTGCGCCTGCTGCGCCTCACAGAAGCCGAGCGAGTGGAAATTCACGGACCTGTTGGGAGGAACTCGCCCGAACCAAAGCCTCATGATCGCCCGGCCCCACGGACAAGCGCCGGTGGTTCCGGATGGCGGCCGCCACCTGCCGACACGTGGCTTTCGCCGCGGAGCGCGGGGGGCCAACAGGAAGTCTACCATCCAAAGTCTATGAGGACCATCCGAGGTCACAAGTCAAAAGAAAGGCCACAAGACTTGTAGGGTCCGAGTACCGTACAAACGAAAAACGTGGAAATCTCAAGGACTGGCCTCGGAATCGTTCACAACACGACGGTGGCGCTCTTGTTGTAGAGTGAGTGTACTCTTCTTTTCCTCACGGACACTGCACGGCGTCTCGTGAAGTTTGCCAGGATGCAACAGCGCAAAAATCTGGTGAAACTGATGGGGCATCACATTCTGTGATCAATCCTCTGGAGTTTCTGGATCCATCACTTCACCTCTCGCTATAGGAACCCCAAGTCCCACTCACTCAACTTGGGCCGGGCCACCGTCTTCCGCACGACCGGCGCCAAATGCTCTGCATCGCCCTGGACGGGGCTCCACCCGTGCCGGTCTTCGTTCGACGGGACCAATGGTCCCGGGAACCCTGAAGTGTCTCTCGCCCGTTCCCCAGAGTCCCTGTAGATCATAGATCCCTGTGGAGACCTCCGTTTGGCTCTAAAGGTGGGTGGTCTATACTGGAGCAGGTGGAACTCCCAGGTGCGTTCACCCCCATGTCCACGCTCGTCTCCTGGGAAAACAGGGACTCCGGACAACACCAAACATGGATGTTCTCTCCTTGCGCCAACGAGGTCAGAAGTTACAAATTTAGTTCGTGGCTCCCTATCGCCCTGTGCGCGCGATCCCCTCCTTTTGGAGAAGCCCCAACCAGCTTGGCGAGTCACCAAGGCTCCGCCCCGCCTCTTGGGCTCCGACGGAGGGGTGTCGGGAGGACTGCGTCGATGGCAGGGCGGAGCCACCAGATTCACCTCGCAACCAGGCAACGGCAGGAAGAGGAATGCGATCATGCAGAGTGCTTGGAAAGGGGGAATGACATGCCTCAGGGGGAATGGCCACCGGCGTGCTTGGAATGGCTCTGATGAAAAACGCGTTGAGCCAACCTGGTTTGAACCACACCCTGGCAGGTTCTGGGGAAAGAGCGCAAAACCGGCCTCCCCAAACGAAAATAGCCACCGGGGTCTTGAAGATGGTGGCTATGGCAGTCTGACAGAGTCTAATCTTTGCATTTATACAAGCAAGAGATATATCTACTGACCTACCTGTGACCTACCGGCACATTTTTCTCGTCACCCTATGCAAGCCCTGCATTCCAAACACCCGCTTCAGCCGCCCTCGCCTCCTGCATCCAGGAGGGCACTGGGCGCCGTCGGCGGCTCCTCACCGACGAGCCGGTCGCAGGGTCCGAGGACCTGGGTCCTGGTTCCGGGGTGTGTATGTGTGTATGTGCGTTCTAAAATACTGTATATCATTGGATACACACACATGTAGGGGTATTGCTGTTCAATGACTAGATGTACCTCCAGTTGCATGGCTTTGTGGGAGAGCTTTCCACCGACCATGAGACGGTGAAGAGAGTCAGATCAACTCTTGGGCCGCGGACCACTTCATCTGGCACTTCCTCCTCCTCATCACTACCTCAGTGCAGGCCACCTCCAGATCATCTGCAGCTACAGGCGTTGTCATTTACATGTGTATATATATATATATACACATTCCGTATCCATCCTTATGATAACTTATGACATTGCTGCACGAGAGCTTTCTGCTACTCTGTCTCAGAATCCAGGGAGTGGGACTCCACCTGATCAACCGCCTCCCGAGCCGTTTTCTCTGTTGAACAAAGGTTCACCTCCCCCGACTGTTCCATCTCTCCAGCCAGGTGTTCTGGCCCGTTGACTCTCTGGTCAAATTGGCATCTCCAGCTGTTCTTGTTTAGTTTAGTGGGGTGTCCCCAATCCCCAAAAAAGGTGTTGCAGGTGATCCACTTTTCCTGGGTCAGAAAAGTTCCACAAGCTGTTTTTGAGGCCCTCGCTTTCAGACTCCGAGGTCAATTCCTCCTCCTCTTCCTGAACGAAAAAGCCGAAAACACATCTGCGACCCACCCGACCCGAACTCCCATGGACTCCATTCGGCTCGGCCCCCGCCAAAGGCTTGTAGCCTTCGGCAGGCTGCTGAATGCGAAGTTCGCCTGCGGAGTCCGCCCCCGGCCTGCTCACTGCGACTGGTCTCGCTCTTCTTGTCGTAATCGATGCTCGTCTCCCGTTCCCACCCTTTGCGATTGCGATTCACCATATTCCTCGGTTCAGAGGAGACGAGGGAGCCCAAATGGAAGAAGCATTGCGTTCTTTATTGCACTTCGTGCAGTCAAATATTTAAATGGTCATTGCCGTCATTGCCGGTAGCAAAGCGAAATCCAACGGCGAATTTGTCACCTCAGCTAAGGACCTCAAGCCCAGAATGGCAGAGACTCTGCTCGGATTGGCCTCTCGGACTGACTCTGCTCAAGCGATCGAAGAGATGCGACGTGCTCCGGGACCAACACTTTAGAGCATGGCTTTACGCTACTAGGAGCAAAGGGCATCGCAACGAACGGAGCAAGGACGCTACTGTTCCATCAACGCACCGCGATGGCCTCCACCTTCTTGAAGCGCTTCACCTTCAACGGGCTCTCCTGCCGAAACAGGTCCGGCGGAGCCACCAGAGCGCATGGACAGCATGGGATGCCAACGGGGGGGGGGGGGGGGCCATTAAGGGCCATTGCGAGCCTGCAGGTCAACTGAGCACCTGGGAGTGGTCAACTTCGCTCCTTTGACCACACTCATCTTCACTCCCTTTCCGAAGAACCAGTCAGGCTTGCAAGCTCGCAACAAGGCTCCACTAGGCTCCACAAAAAGAAATAGAACACCTGCACAATATATAGAAAACCAAGGAACTCTGCGTGCATCTTACTTCGCGCTGACCTTGACTTCTGCGGTCATCTACCCCTAGCTGCACGCGGTCCTTCGAGCCCAGCAGCTGCACGCAATCGGCCTTGCTATAGGCTTGCCATGCCTGGCCATGCGGCCAAGGACCCTCTCAACAAAAGGACATCACAAGTACATCTTCGGGCAGAATTCGATGTGTTTGAACCGGAGGCATGCTACATGACACACAATCCGCCCGCACCGAAGGTGCCGAGGCGTTTTATGAGGCTCGCGTTATACCGCAAGTACCGCAAGTACTAATAGCTTTAGCTAGGGGGGGGCCATTTTCGCTTTAGAATCCTGTGTTTTTGGAACCGGCTTAAAGTGCTGGAAGATAAATTCGTGCTAAGTTGAAGCCTCTAGTGATGCAAGAAATGCAAGTTTCTGCTTTGCATCATCTGCATCATCTGAGCGGTACATAGCTCTAGAAGTCACTATCTAACGGGCGTGTCTGCGAGATAGGTACTTGAACGTCGTAAACATGGCCGAACGGGACTGGAATAGAGTGAAGATAATAGGGACTTGAACGTCGTAAACTGGAATAAAAACCCTCCCCCTAACGTGGCCAAACATAGCTTCTATATTGTCTGACATAGCTTTAGAAGTGATATTTGGCTACAGAAGCAGAGATAAGCAGAGATCACGTCCAGGAACGGTAACATTTTCGTACGAGCAGAGCGTGCATATGATCGAACATAGCCCCAGAAGTCACTATCTCAAGCACGCTTCTTCGAGATAGGGACTTCAACGTCGTAAACATGGCCCAACGAGGGCTCAAAAGAGACTGGAAAAGCCTGCAAAGTCACGATCAAAGTCACTATCCTCGAGATAGGGACTTGAACGTCCGGGTACATGGCTGGTCAGGAGCAGAGATAAGGAAAGATAAGGTGGTCAGGAGCGGAGATAAGGAAAGATAAGGTCCAGGAGTGGTAACATTATCTCACGAGCATAGCTCCGATATGGTCGAACATAACCCCAGAAGTTACTATCTCAAGTATGCTTCCCCGAGATAGGTACTTGAACGTCGTAAACATGGCCCAACGAAGGCTCAAAAGGGACTGGAAAGAGTGAAGATATTGCCTAACATAGCCTCAGAAGTCACCATCTCAAGCACGCTTCTTCGAGATAGGGACTTCAACGTCGTAAACGTGGCCCAACAAGGGCTCAAAAGGGACTGGAAAAGCCTGCAAAGTCACTATCAAAGTCACTATCCTCGAGATAGGGACTTGAACGTCCGGGTACATGGCTGGTCAGGAGCAGAGATAAAGATAAGGTGGTCAGGAGCGGAGATAAGGAAAGATAAGGTCCAGGAATGGTCTCCCTTGGCTCCAAGAGCACAAGACCCCGTTCCAGATCGTGTTACCCGACCCGCAAAATGGCAGCAGTCTTTTAACCCCCCAACTCTCGAAACATGAAAGGGGGGGGGTCACTTCCGGGGCTAGGTTCGGTGGACATATTCTCCCCTTCCATACGGTGCGGGCGGTTACCGTCGCGAAGCGACGTGAATATTCAGGCTTCTTAGAATCTGGATATATGGGATGTTGCGGCTTAAGACACCGAACCATATCCTGGACCCAAGGGGTGCCTCCTCAAAGGAGATCAAGGAAGGAAAAATGGAAAAGTCCAAGCAGAAGCGGAAGAAGGCGGCAAAGGACCTGAGTCAGCTTGCGCAAGTGAATCCTAAAAGCCAGCCCCAAACACTGAGATTCCCAACATGTGCTGCACGGGTTCAAGTCGGATTTTGCCATTCTCATCCTGGTCAAGCGCTGCAACAAACTCGAAATCCTATTGGGCAGCCAAGCTCTTCTACATCTACTTTTGCTCCCTAGACAGAGCCCCACGTGCCTCCTTTGTGGCCGTCTTTTCTTCATAGCAGTACCTGAGCCGTGCACCACATACGTCTTTTGTTTTGATCAGCCAAAGACGCAGGCTGCCAACGAGAAATCGGGAAACAACGAGGAGCCCTGGGCTTCCCAGCGCGGAAAACAGCTCCTCAAAGAGACCCTGGAACTTCGAGACCACACAGAGGCACCCAGGCTGCGCGCTAGGGCGGTGGCGCACCGCGGCACGACGTCGGCCAGGGGAGCCCGGGTTTCACCCGCAGATGAAGGCTCTGTTTACACAATGCGCGGAAGAGATCGGAAAGCTGAAGGAAGCGTACCCCCTAAAGACATCTAAAGACCATGCTTTCAATAGTCTTTGACTCTCAGTCCCAGTCCGGAGGCGGCACCCGAGGCTCCGCGGCTCCGCGCGGAGCGGGTCCCCCCCCCCCGGTGGCCTCCAAAATCTCGTCCCTCAGATATTGCTCGTAGGCGAGGACTTGGTCCATCCGCTCCATGGTCGCCTGGAACCGGTGTCCGCTGGTGTCCGACAAGTAGGCACGATTACTGCAGGGCGTCGCCTAGCAAAGTCAGAGGTGCCAGTGCCGAAGGGCTGTGCACAACTGAAGATGACTTGATGCTGTGTTGCAACTAGCTTGGCAAAACTTCACGCGCAACACCCAAAGTCAAGACACCCCCGACGGCCTCCGGCTCGCACGAGGTCGTCACGCTGTTGATCCAAAAGCGGAGCCCCCTGGGAGTATGACTGGCAGAATGGCCCGGCAAGGGCATCTCGGAAATAGCTGGTGGTGTTATGTTGCGTCCAGGTGACCTGACCCTACCCCTGCCTTTACCATCCTTTGCCTTCTCGGGAGTGTGGGGCGCTCCTGGTGAGGTCTCCCAAGTTACACGTGTACTAAGGATTACCAAGGCACCTTTGCCTCCGCCTGGCTGCTGGAACAGCAGGGTATTCCCACTCGGCTCAGACCCTCAGTCTCCCATCCCTCCCTTGGCTCCCAGACCGGGTCCACGTGGCGAGCGGCCCCTGGAAGAGTTGAGGTGGCGAACCGTGCTTCCCAAAGATCTCCATGCGCCGCTCCAAAATGGCCTCGCCCGATCGGCCGGGTCGACCGGAGCAGACTGGACTGAGTGTTTCGTGGCGATGACCGGGACGGGGAAACATCAAACACACGGGCGCTGTATCTCAATAGGGGAACCTGCCAACCAAGGGATTTGGTCCGTTTTTGATGTTCCCAGAGAGGTGCTTATATAGGGGGTCTCCCTATTCTAAATACACAACAAATCGGAATGATCGAGGAATGGCACCTGCTAAGGCTTGATTCTTGGCAATTCTTGGCGCATCATGTCTGCCATATCTCTGGGTCACTCCCTTTCAGGCCTCCTCAGTGGTCTCAACAGCCAGAGCCTCCGCGAAAATGCGGACATGGGGGTCGGACTGTACACTCAACTGTGAGCTTCCTACGCTGTCACCTTGGCTCCAAGAACGGTGTGCTTTCATGCCGTGGTCGCTTCGTGGGGGTCGCCCCCTCCCACGCCACTCAAGGCCGGCCTCCGCAGTCTGTCTGGCTTTGGACTGAGTCTCACGAAGGAGGGCCTGGCAGCCAGGGTCTGGCGTCACAAGCGTCTGGCGTTTCTCTTCAAAGAGGGATCATCTAGTTGTCCCACCACCATTGAATCTCAGTCATTCATTCACTCTTCATTTTGCTAGTGGTATTTTGGGGGGCTGCCCTCTTCTGAGGCACACCCGCTCGTCTAAAGCCAAACCTGTTGTGAGAGTCTGTGCTTCAGCAACCCAGGTTATCAAGTTGGACAAAATGGGATATGAATCAAAACGCACAGGGTCAGGAGTGATTTCCCGCACTGACCAATTTGACTTGGCACGCGGAGTACCTTCATTCGCGGGCCTGTGATGAAAGGAAGGGTGAACCATCTCCAAGGTTTTGGTGGTCTTTGGGTCTGAAATGCTAAAGAATGCTGAAAGGATTGCACGGTAAACCTCCTTTCGATAGAAAGCCCACTTTCCGATCGAAAGCCCCTCCCTTTCGGCTCAAGGTGATGAAAGCCCCTCAGGTCGCCTCGGCCGTGCGCTCCGCCTTCTGCAAGCCTTCCTCGAAGAGTTCCCAGGCCAGTGCTGCCGGCATGTTGATCTGACCGCACGGGTGCCGCGAGCTCAGGTGGAAGGACTCAAGTCCTTGTAACTTCCCCAGATTCTGGTACCCTGTACTGTAGAACTTTCCTACCCTATACCTGTACTGAACTTTCCTACCCTACTGTAGTCTGATTCTGGTCTAGAACTTCCCTACCCTGTACTCTTTCGGAGAATATATATAAACGTTGCTTGCATTGCGAACGCTGAAGAAAGCGCCGTCGAGGGAAGACTCACGTTATGTGAATTACCGCAACCACTCTAGTCATGAAATCAACTGTCTCAAGTAAGGCTGTCAGCGCATCTTCAGTTGATCCTGATTTCTCTCGTCGTGCGCCTGCATCATCAGCTGCACCACCAGAGTGACACAGTGATCGATGTTGGCATAGCGCGCAAGCCCTGGGAGATCCAAAACAGCAGGGCTGTGGGGCATCCAACACCAACCCAGTCTCCCTCTCCTCCCTCTCCTGCCAACATCCCAGCTGTGGGACCTCCCTCCGACCTGAGGTCTGAGCCACCAGAGAACTTGGAAATGTTGTCAAAAAGTCTGACCTTGGACGACAAACAAGGCAACTTGGTTTCGATGTTATCCAAAGTTCCTTGAATCACAAGTTTGCCTTGGCCACCCAAGGACCAGATGGCCCAGCTGCTATCAGCTGTGTGTGACTCTGTGTGACTGGTGGATGGGAGAAGAGACCTGCAGTCACTGGGTGCTTACTTTCGTTTACTTTCTGCTTTATCTCCTGAGTGCCGGCCGACTTGTGATACGTGGGCCGCTCGGTGTCCTCAGCCTCGATGGCGACCTGGGTGTCACAAGAAACCAAGCGCGGTATTCCTTTCTTTTTTCAGGGTCAGAGGAGTGTGATGACAATCTGAGAATCTGTGAGAATGTTAGTTTTAGTAGGGTACAGTAAGTGTGGATTGATTCTGGCTGTGAATGCTGGCTGTCGGGAGTTGTCTGCTTCAGCTTTGGCAGGCCGAGAATCATTTCTGAGTCCCGCGCTAAATTACTGTCTAAAATAAAGCGACAAAATGCTGAGCGGAAAATCACCTGGCAGGGTGGAATGCACATTGCACCATTGACCCCCCAAGTGACACAATGGTGCAATGTGCAGCAAAAAGAATCGGTCACACTACAGCAACCATCACTTTCTGCAAGTCCTCTTCGCCCGGCCTCTTGTGTTCCGATATTTTGTGGCCTTGCCACCTTGCAAATCAACAAGGAACAACAGGGACATGTTCACATCGCGAAACTGAGAGATGATGCACATCGGTCCCCCGGATATCCGGGGTGAATGCTAAAGGCCGCATCTGCAAGTCACAGCTTCGGTAGCTCGCAGCTAGAACCCACCGATTGATCCAACTCACCCGTCTTTTCCCCAATCGCAAACCACCGAGCTACTCCTGTGTTTGAGCCCTCGCCCTCCATCTTCAGACGTGGCCTGACTGTAAAGGACCAGCACCTGACGGATGGCCGTCTGCTTGAGGGCTGAAAGTTCCCCGCCCGCCTGGCCGCTTGGCCGGCCGCGCGGACGCCGCGTCCACGGTCGGTTTGGTGGGAAGGGAGATTCGTCCACGTCCCGAGAACGTGTTCGATCGAGGCCAGCTTTGGAAAAGTGATGAAAAGTGTACAACTTTAGCCTGATCAGGTATCACCTGACCTTTTGAAAAAACTCCCAGAACCCAACAACGCAATTAGCTTCCTTGAACCGAACCTGCTCGGCCTGCTCAGCCTGCTCAGCCTGCCCGCTCCCCAAGCACGGGCGCCCGCAGCGGCCTGGGGCATATCCTTGCCATGGATGTCGGGAGCCGCCCGAGCAATCTCGGCCTGCCGAGGTCCCGAAACCGATGACCGGACTCCTGCGAGCGAGCTCAGGTTCTCGCGACCGGTGTGGCAAGGACATGAAAAGCACCCGGCTTGAAACAACTCTTGAAACCACAAAAAACGGGTCTTCCCAGGGTTGGTTTGTCACCCATCCACCTTCCATGGAAGGTGAGTCGGCAGCAACACGACATGCAGAATCCCTGCTAGTTGCCATCATCAGATTACATCAAACAGCCGTCAGTGAATAACAGCCACTACTCTCCCGGCCTCCACATACTCAGGGCTGGCAAAGCCCTGCGTAGAAGCTAACTGCTTGCCATTACGCGCATGTCCATCCAATGGTCTGGCTTTTCAGTAGAGGCATACCGTTCATAACCAAATCCTACAACTCTTTTTCACTGTTAGAATGGATGGGGTAAGTTGAGCCATCTATATCCGTTCAATTCCTGTCATAATTAATGTGGGGTGCACAGGAGTCAGTCTATCTCCACCAGTGACTCACGCGCCAGTTACAACTGCACCTGTTACAACTCAAAAAACTCTCAACCCACGCACCCGCGTACCTCATTGATGTAAGGAAGCACCGCACTCTCCATGTCCATGTCGCCATCCGGTCTCTTCAAAAAGTCGAAGAACCTCGCTCTACCCAGCGCCCCTTTGGCCCTTCGCTCTGCCCGGGGGAGGGGAGGGGGGTCACAGTGACCTCGGGCCCAGCCGCCCAGCTTCAAGTGGAGTTCGAAGCAGGAAACATGAAAGATGAAGAATCGCAAAAAAAGAAAAAAACAATGTCTTTGACACGTTCGACATTCATCGGTATTCACAAACAAGTTACTAGTCTGGATGACTCTAGTGCACTCTGACCCAAGTTGGTATCGGTCCTGTATTTGGAGCCAAAAAATAGAAAATTGAAAATACAAAACCTGGGGGGTGGGTGGTTTCGTGGTGATTTTGTTGGTGAGAAGTCACTTCAGTTTCTTCAGCTACCATAGAACTGCCCAGCCCGACCACATCTCATCATCGCTGGCGTCGCGACTGACAGACTTGTCGACGATGAACACGTTCCGAGGCTTCATCAAGGTCGTTACTCCTGCCCATCATGGTGCTTGGTGGGAGTAATGATCAGCCCCTATCATCGTTGTCTTTCGAAAGGATAAACAGTGAGTACTTTTTTGCTAAAGCTGCGGGGAAAATGTGTCAAAACCTGTGGACGCGCACCTGAAAGAGGTGAGCTCTGATCCAAAAGCCACCGAACCCTCCAATCCACATCCATCAACTTCCTCGTGGTTGGGTAGTTGGGTGGTTGGTTGGTTGGTTGGTTGGCTGGCTGGCTGGCTGGCTGGCTGGCTGGCTGGCTGGCTGGCTGGTTGGTTGGTTGGTTGTTTGGCTGGTTGGTTGGCTGGTTGGTTGGTTGGCTGGGTGGTTGGTTGGCTGGTTGGCTGGTTAGTTGGTTGGTGTCGGAGTTTTGGGAAAAAAGATCGTTGGAGGAGGCCATCGCTAGAAGGTTGGAGGCCCTTGCTTTCAGGGAATGAAAGAACAAACGGATTTCGAGTCAATTTGGAATCCAAAACGCCGTGCCAGCGCCGTGCCAGCGCCTCTTCCAGGTCTCCAGGAGCTGGGCCTGAAACTTCTTGTCGCACTCCACCGCCCGGACCTCGAAGGGGCCACCGATGGCCGGGTCTTCCAATCAATCCCAAGCGATTCCTCGAAGGGAGAGAACAATGGTACGTGGACCTTCCGAACTCGGGGGAGCCCTGGCTGGAGATCCAGGCTAGTGGGTTGGGGCTTTCAGCCAGGTGACCCTGACAGGAAGGTGCCAGTATGATATGGTCATGTTTTGATGTCCAGGACTGCTGCACTCACCTCCAAACTGCAGATTGCACCCTGCCACTCCGAGTGCCCTGCCACTCCGGTGGTAGTCCCCTTCACATCGATTTTCCTGAAGAAGATAGGAGGCTGGGATAGACTGGGTCTCTCCAATCATGACATCACGCTTTAATAAAGGATGCCTCACGGGCCTCGCGTCGCCGTCGTTGCGTTGAAATCTCAGCCGCCGCTCCCGGACGTTTTTCCCTGAGGCTTGGACTTTTCCCTCGTCCGCGAGGGAGTCGTCGTCGGCCTGGAACTCCCAGGGCGGACGGACTTTCTTCAGCGCTGAATGACTAAGGATTTGCAGAATTCAATGAATCGTTCAAAACGATTTAAACATTCCAGCTCTGAGAATTCAAGATCTGAGAATTCAAGAAAGAATAGCCTGAGAATGGCTGCTTCCAGATGTCCAGCACACCTGAAGTACATGACCGGTCCACTTTTCGCCTTCAAATGGCCGAAGGGCTCTTGCCTTCAAATCTCAATCCATGGTTTCAAAGGCCAGGCAAAAGGATGTGCTGCTTGGCAGCGCAACAAACTTGCACCACCTCGCTGCCAACGCTGAAGGAAACCAATGTCCAAGCAGACGACCATCTTCCAACATCAACGTGGTAGGAAACATCTGCACAAAACAAAGTGACGGCCGGTGGTCATCTACCTGAAAGACCAAAAAGTGGCCCCCAAGTCGAGTCCATGTTGCGAAATCTTCGCAACGAACCACAGCCACAGGTGGCAAAGGCTTCTCGTCACAGGCTGGCTCGGGGGCCACTGGCCTTTCGACGTGGCCGGTGCCTGTGGGTGTATACCCTCTTTCGGTTTTCAATGAACCCCATATTCTGGTCCAACATCCCAATAGCATGGATCATGGTCAACATCCCTGCAAAAAATGTTTTGTTTGTGTGTTTGTGTCTCGTGATGTGGAGAAAGCTTGTGGCCCACCACATTCTCACCTCAACCCATCCCTCAAACGGGAGACATTAGTGATCCCCAATCCAATACGGAAGTGATCCCCGAGTTGCAAGCGATCCATGCCTCCAGGCGCAAGTGATACCCCATGGCCACACTTCAGGGGGTAGTCCCTCGGGTCTTTAAAATTGAATGTTGCCATCCAAGGTCTACGAAGTAGCCGACTCTCCCTTCCCAATGCCTCATCGACAATTCGCTCCATCACCATTTCAGCGATGTCGTAAACCTCATTCGTGTCTGAGGAGAACGGCACGAAGTGCTCTGCAGAAGCGAGCGTGGACCAAGTCAGTGCAAAGAGTCTTTTTACTGACTCCTTTGGTTCCTCTGGCATCTGAGCTGCAGGCCAAGGCAAAATTGTCATTCCAGGCTTGTTTGCCCCCGGACTTCAAGTTCATGCCCAACTTCATACAGGCCTCACATTCACAACACGTGGTCTTTCGTCTTCGCCACCTGATCAATGACTAATTTGCACAAAGCACAAAGTTGATACAGAATCGTGACCCTCTAGTTCCAACAAAAATACAGTGAAGGACAAATCCCTTCCTCTCCGACGCTCCGACGACTTTTAATTCGCAAGAAATGGAAAACTGTCATCCTCCACAGGACTCAGCACCACTGGCCTCAGCCTCCTTGCCTTCTCCTCCGGGTGCTTTGGCAAAGGCCTGCCAGCGCGCGATCTCACGTCCAACACACCGCACCGGAAACGCGCCGCGGGGGAGAATCGAACGGGTCGGCGGGTGAACACGACGGTATCTCATCCCAGTCAACTAGTCCAAGGCCATCTAAGGTTGGTTGTTGGCTTCAAAAACTATCCCGGCCAGAGACCTCAAACAGTGCGTGTGAGGTCTAGAGGTGGAGCACCAAAAGTCTAGAGATCTAGACGCATTGAGGTCCAGAGAGGTGATGGTGGCAATGAAGGTGGGGATCGTACTGATGGTGGCGAGGTGGTGAGTGAGTGAGTGTGAGTGTGAGTGTGAGTGTGAGTGTGACTGCGAGTGTGAGTGAGAGTGAGTGTGAGTGTGAGTGTGAATGTGAGTGAGAGTGAGAGTGAGAGTGAGAGTGAGAGTGAGAGTGAGAGTG